AGCAGTATTTTGAACTCAGCATCTGTTAGGTTGCTTATCTCCATTTCGCTTAGTTCTTTTCTTGGGGTTTTGTTCTGTTCTTTCATTTGGGACCTGTTTCTTTGTATCCTCATTTTGGCTGCCTCCCTGTGTTTGTTTCTGTGTATTACTTAATGAGAGGTATGGGGCTCGCTGAGACCCGATGCTGCTCGTTTGAAAGAATTTAGGAAAAACCTGAAGCAGGATCCAAGACAGGCCAATCCTATGGTTAAGCAAGTAGCAACAGCTTGGGTGGGCTTGAAAGTTGTGTGGGGCGGGGCGGGGCGGGGCCTCAGGGAGTCAGCAGGGCAGGGCTACCAGTGTGAGCCAGGTTGCTGGAGTCCCAGATATGGCGACTGTCTGCCGCCCCAGGGAAGGGCTCACCAAAGGAACAAAGGCCTCTTACAGCACGTTTGTCCCCGAGAAAGCCCCCTCTCCAGCCCTCGCTCCAGTGCCAAACAGCTCAGTTCTTCCCTGTATTTCTCTGGTGCCCCTCGAGCTGCCTCCCCTCCGAGCTTAGAGGGAGAGAGTCCGACCAGTCCGTGCGCGGGCCCTTTAGGGAGCTGCCTGTGGCTCCAGCCAAGTCAGCTTCCCTGAGCCTCAGTTTCTGCTGGTTTTTCCAGCCAGAAGTTATGGGGACTTCTCTTCCTGGCACTGGAGCCCTGAGCGGGGCACCTGGTGTGGGACGGGGACCCCTCAGTCCTCAGGAAGGACCTTCCCAGCCGCAGGAGCCTCCTGATTTTTATCCGCCACACTTGGGTGTGGGACCAGCCGCTGCGCCGCCGCGCCGCTGCCGCCACCCCTCGCACCGCCGCCCCTCCTACCGGTCTGGATGTAGCTGCTTTTTTTTTTTTTTAATTCCGTAGTTGTAGGACTTCCATTCAGCTTGATTTCAGGCGGTTTTGGATGATGGTTGTTCTGTAGTTTTGTTGTAACTTGGATGTGGTTGTGGGAGAACGCGATACTGCGTTTCCCTATGCCGCCATCTTGACCGGAAGTCCGGCTTTTTTTTTTTTTTAATGAGAAAATATTCTGGGACTTTGAAGGAGCATCATAGATTATTAAATCGCTTACAGAAGTTTCTTCTAAAATAACACTTGCATCATCCAAGTTTTTCCTTCTGTTTGTTGTATGTTAAAGCTCATTTATTCCAATTTTGCCATTCCACAATTTATGATACATTTCAGCTAAAGACCTCTTTAAACTTAACTTTGCACTACTGGAAAAGAAGGGGCTTTAGAAATGTTGTGGGAAGTGTTGAAGGGAGACAATGAAGTGGGACTGGGGTGAGTTCACTGGAAATTTATCTTAAGAGGCAGTGGTCTGTACAGGTAGAATCATTCGCTGTGTACCACCCCTCATTTTTCCTTTGAATAGCACCTTTGTGATGGTTAATATATGTCTCAGCCGCATCCTATATTCCCTTTCATTTTAAAACTCTGAGTGGAATAGTTCTCTCCCCGTCTTTAATATATTCTAGAATTCATGTAACAGTGATTTTTGTTTTGTCCACTGGGATGATTGTTGAGAAGGACTCATGGGTCTAAGCAATATCCTTATAATGAACCCATTTGGTGGCTTCTCCAGATAAATCGGGGAAGTGTGTTGCTAGATTAATTACAAAAACCACAAAAAGAATACATGATTATGATATGAGGCCACTTAAGATAAACTTCTTTGAATAGGGGGCATATGCTATATTTACAGGTTTATTCTCTCTACTATGCTCCTGTTACTTATTATAGGATATATGTTGTTAGGATGATCAACAGACTATAAAACTGGAAGACTATAAAAGATATTACAGTGTGTACAGTGATATAATATATATATAAGAATGTATGAATGTTTTACTTGTTTGAGTCAAGGCTTGAGATATGGTATTATCTGCTTCCCTGATACCAGAGGCAAATTCTGTGAGCTAGAATTGCCTCTGTCTCATTGCATTGCCCTGGAACCCAAAAGAGGGCTTGACAACCAAGGGGTATCTTGGTAGTTTTATCTGAAAAAAAATTAATATTGAAAAACAATGTTTTAATAAGTGAAAATTTATATTAATATATCCATGCGATTTTCAAACACACACATTTATAATCAATTTTATAATTACAAATTATCTTTCTCTCATCAGCTCTTTCTTCCCTTACAATCCATAGAACATTAATGGTTTCTAGTTTAGCTTATTTTATGCACTTGAAAGCCATTAAACTACTGTTTAGTGAAACTATGTTCATACACAAACATACATAATCACTGACTGGTCTTCCCTTAAACAATCTAACTTTGGAAGTTTCAACACTGATAATGTGTTTAAATAATATCAAACAATAAATGCTACTTTACTCAGCAACTATAAATCTTATACCACTTCTCAGAAACATGCAGGTTTCATTTTCCACAAGGCGTAAGATTCCAGTCTCATTGTATACAGACCCTGTATTGTATGAGGCTCTGAGCTGCCTGCAGAGTAGAGCTTCTGACGCCTTTTCAGAGTTCCAGATGGAGGAATTCCAGTTGTGAAATAAAAGTACAGTTCAACTGAAATGCTTCATCAATGTGGCCTGACACTCTCTGCTACTTTTTTGGATCTGACTGGATATAGATGAACCACTACTGATTTCAGTCCTTCAGAACCAGATAGAAGAAACTATGGATATATGCAAATATGATACATGTAAATGGAGAAGATGATGAACACAGAAAATCACACACTGTCCCTAAACCTTATATTGGCCTCTTAACTTTCTTTCCTATCAACACTTTTTCTTTATTAAAGTGTTTCCAATATATCATTGAATAGAAATGATGCTTTCTTTAATGAAAACCTAAACAGAAAGGATCAGACATCAACACTTAACTGAATCAATCAGAAGGAAAGACCCCTTTTTAGAAGAGTTGAGCATTATCCTGTAATCCTGGGTGTTCTTTTTAAAGGATGAATTCAGAATTGTTGTTACTTGAATATGTGCACAGGAATTGGAATTCTAAACTGCCAAGTAAAAATCTTTCTTTTCTTTTTCTTTTAAAAATTTTCTCCTTGTTTGTGGTCAAAGGATGTCTGGAAAGTTAAAGGTTTTCAATATAACTTTGTACAGTGAATGAAGAGCATTCTGGACTATTACTGGGTAGTGGTGGATATCAAGAGTTTGTGGAACAAAATGGTGTTTTCTTTAATTTATTCTTTAGGGAAAGGTAACTTATTCTGAAATTGAGCTATCCTTATTATTAACTTTAAAGTGAAGTTACTGGACAGAGACCAATTTACATCCAACAAGTCACAAAGATAACAGGGAAGGGTACCAAATTAATGAGCACATGTGAAAGCACTTTATTTATTACCTTTTTTTTAAATGAATTTTTTTTTTATTAATTTGTTTCTGTTACAGATGTTTTTTCTTTTTACCCCATTGACACCCTCCTCCCTATCCCTCCCACCCCATCCCCAGCTTTGTTGTCTCTGTCCCTTGGTTATACATACATGCACATAAGTTCTGTGGTTTATCTCTTCTCCCTCAACCCCCCTTCTCTGAGGCTTGTCAGTCTGTACCCCACCTCTATGTCTCTGGGTCAATTTTGTTCATCAGTTTGTTTAGTTCATTATATTCCACAAATAAGTGAGATCATGTGATATTTGTCTTTCTCTGCTTGGCTTGTTTCACTTAGCATAATACTCTCCAGGTCCCTCCATGTTGTCTCAAAGGATAAGAGATGAAAGAACTTTAAATCTGTAACATGTTCTACAAAGTATAATAATTAACTCCATATTGTCTTTTTCATTTAGAAAGTAGTTTCATTTTTAAGAAGTATCAATACTACTACCCGTGAAAGAATTATTTTTGTGTTTAGAATATTTTTTGGTACAACCCAGTAAACTAATATGCATTCTTTCTATAAATCAGGGAAATAAAGGGTTTGTGGATGAACCTTGCTGCTCTCCAGGACTTTTATTTTCTCTCCTCATAGTCGATAGTTTATAAGCATAAACAGTGATGGTCTAAATGTAAAGTTTGCTATACTATCATTACATGAGACATTCATGTAGATACTAATACATGCTTATACTTGAGGCTTGTGGAAGCACTGAAGAGTATCTGATGTTAGCAACTGCTTGAAATAAGCTAACTTTCATAATTCAAGGATAGATTTAGTTCCCAATTAGGAATAAAAGCTAGAAGAAGCCACTCAGTTGAAGGTACTGATACAAATTTAAAGTATTAAAGTTAAAGATAATATAAAGATAAAGCAGTTAAATGAATCTAAGTCTACACACAAACAGTAAATTCTATCCCAAGAAATTGGTTTAGAATCTGGAAAGAAAATTAAAAGATTCATCTTGAATAATGACTTGCTATTGGATTGGCCCATTGTAATATTTCTGTATCATTCACTAGTAAATGTCCTATTTTATATCCTAGTTTCTTTTTGAAGAGAAGTCTGAGGACTTAAAATTCAACTTACTAAGTAATTACTGAAATCTCTAACTGTAACTATTTGAGGCCAGTATCACTACCTTTCTCTGAATGAGTCTGAATTCCAATAAAGTGATTGTGAACAGTTCAATAAAGACAGTTATAAATAATTTCCTGAGATTCCCCTGGCATTTATTTCAACATGGGAAAACAGATGAATGCATGGAGAGGCAACATTCTATTTAGTGAAATAGACTAAAAAAAAAAAATAATTGTACTCATCACCATTAACTCAGAAAGAGAAGAAGAAACTGGGGGAAAAATGTATTTAAATAATAATAATAATAATAATAATAATAATAATGGAGTCCGATAGCTTCAGAAAGGTAAATGTAAAAATATAATATTCTAATTGTGTAAACTTCTTGAGTTCAGTCTGGGGGAAACTAGATAGCATTGAAAGATGCAGCAAATTAAAACCACAGGGGAAGCACTGATACTTGATGGAAACAATGGAGGGTACTCTTGTTTGTGCATAGGTGTCCAGGGAAGAGTTCTCCAAAGTAATCTTACCTTTGTTTTCAGCCTTCAGTTCCTCTGCCATCAAGCTGTCTTGTCGGTTACCAAGCACAAATGCCAGAAACGAAAGGATCAGGGCATCCAAAATCCCAATAATTGCCAAGATGTATGCCCAGCGGACTGAGCAAGCCCCAAGAGTATACTTGTCTGTCTTTTCTCCACACATTCGTTTTACTTCCTCTGAATCCCAGCCGTCAGGGAAGATCATACAGCCAAGCACAAGGCAGGTGGCTGAGAGAGAGAGGACAAAAAACAAAAAGAAAAAGGAGTTAAAGTAGATTCCAAAATGGCAGCAGAGTAAATGGAAACTACACAGACCATCTCCCAGGACCAAACAGGAATTACAACAAAAATAAAGACAAATCGTTGGGGAAAAGCAACAGAAAAGCAGCTTGCTAAGATCGTATAACCAGGGACACTGAATTGATTCTGGTAGGATTGCAGAGGCGCAAGAAGGAGGCTAGGAGCCCACAAATAGCAGTGGTTTAGCTGTGAGTACCACCCTCGAGGTTAAACTCCCAAGCCCGCTCCACAGCGCAGAGCCAGGACAGAGCATTAAAGTAGCAACAGCCACTCACTTTGGGCTCCGGCAGAGGGAGGGTGTGGGGACACTCGAAATTTGGAGGGTGCTCAGAATTTGCTGAGTTGAGGAGGGTGGCCATCTTCCTCCTTCCTGGGACTCTGGGGAGAGGTGGTGGCCCCTCCCTTGGAGATTCAACCCCACCTGGTGGGCCATTGAAATGCAAATTGAGACTCCTTAACACTCAGCATCTACCCACCCTTGGGAAATCCTCTTAAGCTGAATATATGAGGAAGTTTTTCATTCAACTGAGAACCCAAGGTGTTTCACGTAACTGAGACTAATAGCTTCCAGGCAAAAATCTAGAGGATAACTGAACCATTCCTGGGCTTGCAACTCTACAGGAAAGTAAGACTTGACAGTGGTGTTTAACGTGGGTCCTCACATGCTCATCCAAACCCTCTAGAGGGAACCACAAACAGCAGAACACCAACACCCACAGGAAAAATTTGGCAGGCTCCAACACCCACTGAGAGCCAGAATGGTGAAACAAAGAAACAAATCCCAAATGAAAAAATAAAAAACCTGTACCAAAGATGAGATAAATAAAATGCAGTTAAGCAAGATATCAGAGGTAGAGTTCAAATTCATAATCTTGAGGAAGCTCCACAGCATGAGTAAGGACATCAACACAATGAGTAGAGACATAGAAACATTGAAAATCAACCAATTGGAGATTAAAAACCACCAAGAAAAAATGAAGAATGACATAGCAGAAATAAAGAACACATTGGAAGGACTAAACAGCAGAGTAGAGGAAGCTGAGGACCGGATCAGTGAATTAGAAGACAGGGTAGAAAAAATTAAAAAATCAGAAAACAAAAAAGAAAAAAAAAAATTAGAAACCAGGAAGACCGCTTAAGAGAAAAGTGAGACAACTGGAAATGTAATAATATTCGCATCATTGGAGTCCCCGAAGAGGAAGAAAATGGGCAAGGGTTAGAGAATATATTTGAAGAAATAGTGACAGAGAACTTTCCTAATTTGGTGAAGGAAGAAGGCATTTAAGTTCAAGAAGCACAAAGAGCCCCAAGTAAGAAGAACTCAAACAGACCCACACCAAGACACATAGTAATTAAAATGCCAGTAATTAAAGACACAGAGAGAATCATAAAAGCAGTGAGAAATAAGCAACAGGTTACCTACAAAGGAACCTTTATAAACTATCATCTGACATCTCAACAGAAACACTACAGGCCAGAAGGCAATGGCATGAGGTAATCAAGGTCATGAAAAACAAGGATCTGAATCCAAGACTACTCTACCCAGCAAGGCTATCATTCAGAATAGAAGGTCAAATAAAGAGCTTCCCAGACAAAAAAAAAAGGCTAAGGGAATACATTAGCACCAAACCAGCACTGCAAGAAATGTTAAAAGGACTGCTGTAATTAGTAGAAGAAATAGGAAGAAAAATAGAACCACACTCAATAAAAATGGTAATAAATAAGTACATATCAATAATCACCTTAAATGTAAATGGATTGAATGCTCCAATAAAAAGACACAGAGTAGCTGATTGGATAAGAAAGCGTGACTCATCTATATGTTGTTTATAAGAGACCCACCTCACAACAAAAGGCTCATAGGTTGAAAGTGAAGGGATGGAAAAAAATCTTCCAAGCAAACGTTAAGAAAAACAAAGCTTAGGTAGCAATATTCATATCTGATAAAATAGATTTCAAAAGGAAGGCCATAAGTAGAGACAAAGAAGGCCACTACATGATATTGAAAGAATCTATCCAACAGGAAGATATAATTTTGGTAAACATATAAGCACCCAATATAGGAACACCAAAATATATTAAAAATCTTCTATAGGACTTCAAAGGAGAAATCAACAGCAATACAATCATAACAGGGGACTTCAACATCCTGTTGACATCACTGGATAGATCCTCTAGACAAAAAATTAGCAAGTAAACACAGACTCTAAGTGAAGCACTAAATCAAATAGATTAATAGATATCTACAGAGAATTACACCCCAAAATGCAGAATTCACATTCTTCTCAAGTGCACATGGAACATTCTCAAAGATAGACCACGTATTAGAACACAAACTAAGTCTCTACAAGTTCAAGAAGATTGAAATCATATCAAGCATCTTCTCAGATCACAAAGGCATAAAATTAGAAATCAATTGCAACAAGAACATGCAAAGACATTAGAACACATGGAGGCTAAATAGCATGTTATTAAATAATGAATAGGTTACCAAGGTGATTAAGGAATAAATTAAAAATTTTCTGGAAATCAATGACAATGAACACACAACAACACAAAATCTATGGGATGCAGCGAAAGCAGTTCTGAGAGGGAAGTTCATAGCACTACAGGCCTACCTCAAGTAACAAGAAAAATTTCTAATTGACTATCTAACCTCACAACTTAAAGAAGTAGACAGCAAACAAAAAGAAAACCCTAGATCAGGTAGAAGAAAGGAAATAGTAAAGATCAGTGCAGAAATAAATGACATAGAGACCAAAAAAACAATTCAAAGGATCAATGAAACAAAGAGCTTGTTTTCTGAAAAGATAAACAAGATTGATGGACCCTTAGCTAGACTCACCAAGAAACAAAGAGAGAGAACCCAAATACACAAAATCATAAATGAAAGAAGAGAAGTAACAACTGACACCACAGAAATACAAAGGGTCATTAACAAATACTATGAACAATTACAGGCCAACAAATTAGACAATTTAAGCTAAATGGACAAATTTCTAGAAATAGACAGTCTCCCAAAACTGGACCGGGAAGAGATAGAAAACTTGAACAGACCAATTAACAACACAACAAATTGACGATGTAATCAAGACTTCTCCACAAACAAAAGCCCAGGCCTGTGCCTTGGCTGGTTTGGCTCAGCGGTTAGAGCATCAGCCTGCAGTCCAGAGAGACCAGGGTTTGGATCCCACTAAGGGCACATACCTTGGTTGCAGTTAGTCCCCAGCCCTCATTGGTCGTGTGGGTGGCAGCCACTCGATGTGTCCCTTTCACAATGATGTTTCTCTCTCTCTTCCTCTGTCTTCCTCCCACTCTGTCTGAACAAAAAAATGGAAAAATGTCCTCAGGTGAGGAAAAAAAAAAAAAAAGCCCAGGGCCAGATGTCTTAACGTGGGAGTTTTAGTGAACATTCAGAGAAGAACTAACATCAGTTCTTCTCAAACTATTTCAAAACATTCAGGGAGAAGGAAGACTTCCAAACTCGTTTAATGAGGCCAGCATAATTCTAATTCCAAAAACCAGAAAAAGACACTACAAAGAAAGAAAACTACAGGCCAACATCCCTGATGAACATAGATGCCAAAATCCTGAACAAAATACTAGCAAATTTGATCCAGCAATACATCAGAAAAATTATTCACCATGACCAAGTGGGATTCATCCCAGGGATGTAAGGCTGGTACAATATTTGCAAATCAATAAATGTGATACACCACATAAAATGAAAGATAAAAACCATATGATCATATCAATAGACACTGAAAAAGCATTTGACAAAATGCAGCACCCCTTTCTGACAAAAATGGTCAGCAATCAGGGAATAGAGGGATCATATCTTGACATAATAAAGACCATATATGAAAGACCTACAGCCAACATCATACTCAATGGGCAAAAACTAAAAGCATTTCCCTTAAGAACAGGAACAAGACAGGGATGCCCCCTTTCACCACTCTTATTTAACATAGTACTGGAATTCTTAGCCACAGCAATCAGATATGAAGAAAAAATAAAAGGAATCCAAATTAGAAAGGAGGAAGTGAAAGTCATTATTTGCAGATGACATGCTATTATACATAGAAAACCCTAAAGACTCCATCGAAAATCTACTAGTCGTAATAAATGAATTTGGCAAAGTAATAGGATACAAAATTAATGTCAAGAAATCGATGGCATTCTTATATGCCAATGATGAAGTCACAAAAAGAGAAACTTAAAAAACAATCCTACTTACCATCGTGGGAAAAATTAAGATACCTAACAATAAATTTAACCAAAGAAGTTAAGGACCCATTTGCAGAAAACTACAGGAAGGATTGAAAGAGTTAACATCATTAAAATGTCCATATTACCCAAAACAATCTATAGATTAAAGTTAATCCCCATCAAAATACCAACAACATACTTCACAGAACTAGATCAATTACTTCAAAAGTTCATATGGAACCAAAAAAGACCCCAAATAGCAACAGTAATCTTGAAAAAGAAGGACAAAGTATGTGGGATCACAATATCGGATATCAGGTTATATTGCAAAGCTACTGTAATCAAAACAAACTGACACTGGAACAAGAACAGGCAGATAGACCAGTGGATCAGAACAGAGAACCCATAAATGGACCTAAGACATTATGCTCAATTAATATTTGACAAAGGAGGCAAGAGCATACAATGGAGTAAAGACAGTCTCTAATAAATGGTGTTGGGAAAATTGAGGATAGCTACATGCAAAAAAAAAAAAAAAAAAGAAACTAGACCGTCAACTTACACTATACACAAGAATGAACTCAAAATGGATAAAAGACTTAAATATGACCCATGAATCCATAAAACTCCTAGAAAAAAATGTAGGCAACAAAATTTCAGACATCATACACAGCAGAATTTTTACTGATACATCACCTAAGGCAACAGAAACAAAGGAG